CGCCGAGATTATAGCTTTTTATGTCTGTTCTCAGCTTGTAATGATTCACAATCATAGCAGAAAGCGAAGGTGTTGGATTGAACAAGCTACAATTCACCACAAGAATATCAATATCTCTTGAATTAACACCTGTTTTAGCAAAAAGCGCATCTAATGCTCCGAACATTACTGCTTCTGCTTCTTGACGCGCTTCTTCCATACATAGATTTGGCGGACGGGAATTTATTCCCTTCGGTAAACACGTTTCGTCGCCTAAACTTGCTCTGGATAAAATTCTGTGTTGGAATTGAAGTGTTTCTTCTCCGAATTTGCCGCTATCTTCTAACATTTCCACGAAGGATTCCACTGTTATCTTCCGTTCATTTTCCGGTTTGTAGCAGACAAAATCGACCAAGTATATCGGCGAAGCTCGTTTCACATAGTACAAAGCAAAGAGGAAGAGGAGAACGATTGAACCGACCGCGGTCTCCACTTCGAGTTGGATGGTGTGGTTTGACCAGAGCTCTGAGAGACGGTCGAGTTTCAGATCAGTGAGTTGAAATTGAACGGCGAGAAAGAGAGCTGTAGCATTGACCTGACCACAACCACCCATTCCAGAGAGAGCGTTGAACATTCTTGGACAACAAAAACAAACTAACCCAATGAGAATGATTTGTGCAAGAGGTGAAGACTCCATTCAACATTCAAGGCACCATGAGTAACCAAACTAACATGGAATTCAGAATGTAGAACCGTTCCATCCAAAGTTGGAACCCTGCAACACAATTAAAGCAGAAGCAACTATTTACTGTGCATAAAAGTTAACACTGAAAAAAAGTGAGGTGATGCGAAATGAAGATACATATAGAATTATTAATTAAGCCAATCACGTTCATGATTTCCACTTCAATATGAATAAATGTGATATCCTTTAAGTCTAAAAGAATATGTATAACTCAATTCAAATGTCAATGTCATAAAATGATTGCAAGCACAAACAAACCTTGCTATCATATATGGAACTGTCGAAGAAATTTCTTGCACTTGAGCTGTAAATTGGTTCCACTGTGAGATGTATCCATTTGCATATGGAAGATCTCCTATATGGAAAACAATGTCAAAGTTGTCTAAATCCTTGATGAGCTGGTCTGTGGTGTATAATTAAACTAACAAGAGATGGCACACCAACCTGCACAATTCATGTAGAAGTAAATGAGTGTTAATCAAGAAGCAAGGAAGTAACGGTAGACCTATAAGTTTGCTTCTATTTTTTACAAACCACTTCAATAGAATACCTACTTGGCGAGCTAGAAGAATGTGCTCCTTGGTTTGAGGCATTGGTCCATCAGGTGCAGATACAACAAGGATACCACCATCCATTTGGGCAGCTCCGGTAATCATATTCTGCAAAGCAAACAATGTTAAATATGTGCAATAACTAAACAAGCACAAAACGGAAGAAACATGTTTCATAAAATAGTGTTGATGGTTGAATAATAACTATTTTGTGCTTTACTTAAAACTTAAAAGAAAACTGATCGAGAAACACCTAATAGTACATTAAGGCATGTTATAATACTAAAGTCACATCAGACAAAGCAGTAATCCGAGAGACATGGCAAATTTTTGAGTGACTTATTTATTTTTCTTAAGACGCTGCTGTCATATTTGACAAGATTGTATATACCAATGCCCGCAAGAGAACAAAACCATAAAAATAATGCAGGTCCTACAGCAAGCCTAGCTTTACTTGTTCCATACTTCTGTACACAACAAAACGACAAGGCAAGCAACATAAATCATCACCACTTGATCTGCATAATCACGGAAGTAGAACAAATTAATATAACTTCGTTAGTGATTCTAAAATTGAAATATTTAGCCAATTTTTCCCAGTTTCCACCAGAGTAACCCAAACTATAGAAACGACATCCCGCGCACACTTAGACTAAATTATAATACCTTGAAAACTATAACTATTAATGGGGAAGCAACAATTATTTATTTCAAAGGAGAAAGAAAGATAAAATCTATGTTCTCAGGATGTGTCTGCGGGTAATATCAAATGCAGGTATTAATAAGTATTACAGATAAGAGTTTGTTAATAGGTTAACACGGTACCTTGCTTAATAAAAGTACCAGCAAGAACATTAGCTATGACCATAGCTATGACCATAGAAGTACCAGCAAGAACTAATAAAAGTAGAATCTTCTTTAGATTCGATGAAGACTCTAGCCTTTCCTTAATTTTTAAAGACCTTTCAAGCTCAGGGGACGGCACCTTTCGCCTAAAGCCTGATATACGGGCATCTGATGGCAACTGATTGGGAAAAAGACTCACCTTAGCATTACGACAATTCAAGGAATACAATGCAAATGTACTACCTGCAGTGATTTCAAAATAATCAAATAAACCTTATCCCACTAAGTGTTAGCAGAACATTACAGTTTCACACTTTAAATATGTTAGCAGAACATTACAGGAAATCTTACAGTGCTGAGTTCCTCAGAGAGGCAGAGTCCTCTGGTTTCAGGCATGTGATAGTGGCCATGAGAAGATAAAGTGTAAGATAAGATTAAGGAAAAGCAATTTGTTTAATTCAAATATTGTTAAATGATGAAGCATGGTTTACTTCAAAATGGACCTCAAGAGTTAGTCAATCAAGTTTTGAATGCACCATCAGCCCAACGTTATATTCAATGCCACTTCCCTCAAGTTTCCTCAGAAGCTTCAGTTTATTTGGAGAGCATTATGGCTTTCTCCTTTTGATTTAAGCATAGAAGTTGAGAGCCAGGGCTTTGATCTCCCACCCGGGTTTATTAGTATCTTGTTACATTTGGATTCGAACTTTAAATTTTAAGCCTGGTTACAATCTGGTGCTGTCTTATGAGTATTATTTTTTGAGGAGGTTTGGCATGGTTTCAAGATTAGCAAAATTCTGGGTTAATAGCGTGATCATGATACAATCACCATCCAAACGTCTATTTGAAAGAATAATTTGTCGTGATAACATCTTCATGAAATGGGTTATTTGATTTCAAACTTGTGATTCGAATGGATTTCAAGGTTCACGTGGTGTTCATAACTTTAAATTGAGAGTATAAAATTCACATTCAAATTTTTTGTTTCGAGATTCTTGTTCAAGTTATGATTTCAAAGAAGTTTTATAAAGTGGGCAGTATTTGATTCAAGGTCTTAAAGTTGTAACTTGTCAAGAGTAATTCAAGGTTCACCCCATGAGGTTTCTTAGTATAGTAGATACAAGGGGGATGCACCATATTTTTCATTTTATCCAAGATCAATATTATCCATCATCCATTCGGAATTCAAGTTGCAAATGTTCAACTCTTTCATCGGCAAAGGCCGGGAATGCAGTAAGATTGAGCTGGCCAAGGATGTATATGAGTGGTCGATAGAAGTAACTTTATGACAATGTTGTTTCTCAAAGTTTTTGTGCCCTCATAACCATTTGAAAGTTAATTTATCCTTGTTGTGGCGTCTTGGGGGGCAAACAAGAATTATATAACAAAGTGGTTACTAATCCCTGTAAGGTTAATAAGGTCGACGTTGCACATGTTTTGAAACATTGAAACACTCATTCAAGCACAAGCAGTGATTGCTATAGGAGTCTCTGCTCATTGAGGATACATTAAATCAATATTTTGGGTTTACACCAAAAGCCTGCATTAATTTTGTTAAAACAGAGTTGGTTTTAAGTGAGAATTGATAATTTCCCTTTATTACTATTAAACGCCCTGAACCAAATACACGTGCAAGGCGGACGAACAATTTCTCAAAGTAATCTACGATACAAGAGCACGAACAATAGAGCTATTAATATGCCAGATAGTGCTAACGGCCCACTTCCTTGCTTTAACATCAGAGGCTTCTGGGGAACCCTCAATGCTTTGAATCGATTTGGAGCGAACTTGCCAGCAAACCAGATTAAGTTATGTATCTACGGTACCACCAAGGATGGATCCATCATTTAAATACCAGCTGGGAGTAACTCCTTCTACCAAACCTCCATGCCACGCCCTGTAAATCGAAGTTCAAGCAAATGTCAACATGTTGAGGGATACGGAATATGACACAACATTGAGCATTATGTAAAGCTGTTAAGATAAGCGAACAAAATAATATTCTTCATAACCAAGACTGCCCTAACCTTTTCTTTATTCTAAGTTCTTGCGATGACAATCACAGTAACAGGGAGTAATGCTCACAATTCCAGCTTATATTTTACCATCTCCATTATACCTTCAGAGGCTACAGAATTTGGATTATTTGCACCAGTTGACAATTCAAAGATATGGAACAAGGCGAACTTTCCCCATCACTAAAACTTGTAAAAGAGGAAGCAAGAACGTTTACTACCAATGATCCTTAGCTTCCAAATGCGAGCGTCCGAAGTGGCCATCAACATCGATGCGATCAAACAAAGATCCCCAAGTATCAATAGTACACACAAATAAAAGCCCAACACATTGTTCTTCTCTGCAATACAATGCAGGTCCATTAGTGACAGCATCCTTCAAAGGGCAAAACGAATAAAATCAGAAAGTTAATAAAGTAGCCCCAATTTGAAATAGGACAAAAATCGAAACAGACATGTTCAAGCAAGAAAACAAAGCTTATCAAGGAGCTTTAACTACAGCCAAACATATGCAAACATATCGAGGAAAACACGGAAAGTAATTCAAAACCGATTCCAAACATGTTTCAGACATTTCCAAAACCAGCCCAGACATGTTCATACAAAATCCGAAGTAAATTCATAGGGCTTCAACAGAGATCATAGAATTAATTAGATGAAGGAGGTTGTAGAATCTATAAAAGGACATGCACAGGAACTAAAAGGGAACACAGAGATAGAGTTTCAAAACCACAAAGCACACACACCAAACGATTTAGAACAACAAACCAACTTTCGGAGAATGCAAGGTACTTATCTTCGAAGGAGATCGTTCGCCATTTTGACCGCCTCAATGCCGTCTTCATTCTGATACTCTCCGGCAGGTCAGTGCATTCCAAACATAACACTGAAGGTATATAATGGACTTGTTCCAACATCACCAAAGACAACACCAAGAGTTTGAAAAGCCAACACAATTTTCTTTCCCGCAATCATATCCTGCAACAACACAACAAAGTGAAGAAAGCAGATACAAAAAACAAACTCAAGTGTCGTAAATCTCCTTTTTTCTCGTGTGTAGCATAAATATATCGCTAACTATTGGTATTTATATGAGTATGTAGTATGAGTATGTGTACATAAGAGTTATATCAAGTGAGAGAAATTAATCTTGAAAATTATATCTTATTATAAATTATCAAGATTACAACAACAAAACCTTATCCCACTAAGTGTTAGCAGAACATTACAGTTTCACACTCTAAATATGTTAGCAGAACATTACAGGAAATCTTACAATGCTGAGTTCCTCAGAGAGGCAGAGTCCTCTGGTTTCCGGCATGTGATAGTGGCCATGAGAAGATAAAGTGTAAGATAAGATTAAGGAAAAGCAATTTGTTTAATTGTGGACAAGTTAAAATAGAATCTTCATATGTTAAAGCATTTTGACTTGGGAAGTATTACTTATTACAGAGGTTACGCTTTTAATACTGAATGTATTTGTTTGTATCCATTTTGTCTTAAATTTCTAATATCACGTGTGCATGTCAAATTGAATCATTTAGTAGATAGATTATGTAATTAACATATCAAAAGTTATCAATAACAAAAATGAAACTCACAAAAATAGTTCCTCTTAAAAACTGGCCATAATCAAATTATCAATTATATGATTGCAAACAAGTTAAATGCGGTTTCACTCACATTCTCCTCACCCTCCCTTGCTTCGTTCAGCGCTTGTCTCTCAACTAACAGTAGAGGAACTTGCTGATCCAGTTTCATATTTATGCTTTTATAGAACCTTAGTATATCAGCATGAAGGGGCTGGCATTCGTTAGTATCCATGATAGCAGAATCAAGACACCTTAAGGGCAATATATCCTGTCCCTTGTGGCTGCATGTGAATACAATTGTATCGTTACATTCTTTTTACTTTGCTCCATACAATTTCCTCCACCTTTCCCTACGCAAGCCTGTGATTAATATTTGATCATATAAAAATACTAAATTGGACTGACCTCCATTCGCTCACAGCTACAACAGCGAGGAGTATTATCATAATTTCAAAAACATATCGGAACATAAAACATGTCGTAGTTTCTATCGTCCAACTACGGTTGATTGAATTGATATAGTTAAAATATTTAAAGAAACCTGATAGGAAAATGCAGGTTATAGCTGATGATCTGAATACACAGTGATACACTAAAGTTAATGCCATGTACTAAAACTAACCCAGAAGCCATCTCTTTGAAGTTCATGTGCCGTTTCAAAATTTCATCTTTCAGGTCTTTCAACGCTTTATATCTGCAAAGAAAAAATGAAAACTAGCATCTTAAGTTCCCTACATCAAATTTCCTACACACCAAAAAACAAAAGTAGGTTCCTAACATAGCTGTGTAATTCGGTAGCACAGCAAAAATTGAAAACAAACACGTTTCTCTGCACCTTTCTATTCGGTGATAGTTACACCACATGAAGATTAATTGACCCCATAAATGAAGACTCGCAGACCTTAAGCATAAGTCTCATCATTCAGGTATTAATGTCTGTTTGGTTCTGCAGTGACGAAAATTGGTTCTGAGTGAATTGACTTTGTTCAAAAGTGAGTTAAATGTAAAGTGATTTATGTTTATGTTTGGATACATTTATGTAAATATGATTTGAACAACAAATCATATCTAAACTCGAAAGCTAGAAATCCTAGATTTGGTAAAATACGTCTTGGATTTGAAAGTAACATTCTAATTAGATAGAATTATATTTTATTTATTAATTATTGAGTCAGGAAGTAGAGTGACACAATCTTACTCAAGTGAGCCAGGTGTTGGACTATTTTCGTGTGTCTTAGAATGAACAGGTAAAATACGTCTTTGTCGGAGATGAGTCAAATTCATAATTTGTTTTATATATTATACAATATAACTTTATTAGATACTATAGGGTCCCTATATATATCTTACTTTATTTCCTTATTTTGTTTTTACCTGTTTGAAGAATCGAAATAGATCATATTTGTTAGTTTAAAAAGTATTTAATTTGTATTTTAAGATACAACTTCTTTTTATGTTTTCCAAAACAATTCTCTTAGAACATGTGTTGAGTACTTAAGTTGATTAGCAACTTTGTGAGAATATTTGTGAAGTTAAAAATTGGTCTACTATTTTTATTATAATGCATACTATGTATGCATTGACAAATCTGAGAGATGCTGTTTTTTCTGCGTGCTTTGAGACTGTGTTTGAAAAGGAAATAGAACCCAAATGAAACACAACCAAACTTTTGGATCCTCTAACTTAGCACCTGTCTATCAGACTGTGTTTGAAATTGCAGACCTCATAATGTGATCCGCCACAACACGGTGGCCACCAAAACTACGATGGATTATGATTGCAAACCACCAGTGTGTTTGCTTTATTGCTAGCACGCAGTCAATTTTCAAAAGCGTGTTAACGACAAAACAACAGACGGCCATTGACTCAACAAGCATTTGGCCTCTTCCACTGCTAATACAAATAAGCCACACATCAATCTATGAAAATTGCAAATTCGCAATGCAACTACAACTACAACCTTAATTTAAAACCTCAGTAACTTTCTACATCATGGGATACTGCACTTATGTACCTGTTTCCTTGAGCTTTTTTTCTTTCTATAAATAGTTTAAGTGATTAACCAGAATATGGATTTTACATGCAAAACCTATTTTCAGAACCTATTTTCACAACCTTCACCTAATGAACAAGTTAAGCTTTTCAACCCAAAGTTTGTCATGAACATTTCTATCATTAAGCAAACCTATATAGTTTTCGGCATAGCAATGAAATTTCACATGAGCAGCAAAATCTGAAATCATACTCACTCGTTTACTAGGAAGAGCTATTATATCAAGCTCCTTACACACTTTTGTAATAATCGTCTGCATTTGTGCCCTACAAAGAACAAAAGTACAACACTTCATCAATATTCCTAACTCTAACATCAACGCCAAGCAAAACAATGTCTTAAGATAACATTAACCAGATACAATCTAGCAAGATATGATAATAATACAACACATACGCCATGTTTTACACAGGACCATCTATAAAGACGTGCAAGGCATACTATTGCACATGCACGGTCCAAAATTTGTCCCAGGTAGGACCTCATAAAATATTTGTCCTAGCAATATAGGCGCCTATTTGTTTACACAGAGTCTCCAAAATTTAAACACGGCTTTGGTTTTAACTTTTGCGCGTGGTGCATAATAAAAGCAAATACTCGTAGAACAGAACATCATAACATGTAAACTTTCATTCTACTAAGTCTTAGGTAACAGTTTTGACAGGAAAAAAAACTACTAAAAGTACAATATAGTGAATCAATTTACCTATATTGAAATCTTACTGCCAAAATATGTTGTTTGCTGTGAGGCATCTTGAATTTTTCGTATGTCTTATCTCGTCAACCGCCAATAAGCGGAGAATTTAAGAACAGTTGCAGCTTGATACAAGTCTTAGACATCCATGCATGCATTAGTTTTCAAATTCTCTCACCTCAATTTCCTTTCCCTGTTCAAGAGTTTCCTAAAGTTGCAAAAAGAATCTCAGTTATATGATAGAATAAATAAAGTTAACTTGAAGCTTAAGTTTTCAAGCATAGATTATTGGAATTCTGAAACAAATGGGAACCATGCCAGTATGGCCAGTGTGCTGCATATGCTCCTGTTCCTCATCCCACCATGACTCCCAACTCTTGTTTAAAGGAACAACAATACCACCTCGATTACTAATCCATTTAGTCCAATCATCCCAGTCCTCAACTATCTTCTGCCACTCAAATCCTGATGGATTGAAAAGGAAAGGAGCAAACAACCAAGAGCAAACCAAAAACCACATTGACCATGACAGAAGAGCATATGCTACTGAGTCAGGTGTTGCTGATCTATAAGAGATTCAGAGTTAAACTTTGTGGTATATTTAAGTTGTTGGTGATTCTTATGTGTATTGAAGTTATGAAATCTGCATGTTTTGGTTTGGAGTGTGTCGTGAGCGTGCGGTTCACATTGTTTTTATTCATGTTATAAGTTTATGACCACCTCTTTGTAAATAACTTGCAAGCTATATGAAGTCTTGGTATGCTGAAATTTGTGCAGCCTGCTTGTAGCTTTGTGTGGAATTTGTTAGCATAGAGATAATTAGCGTACGGTCGAGATTCAGAAGTCTTAGCGTTATCCGTATAGTTATGTTACTAGCATTAACATAAGGTCACGAGGAGTCAGTTGCCAACCTAGTAGTGGCTAATCCATCTAACCTCATTCATATAAACAAAGACATCATCTCCATTCTAAATAATGTAGTCTGATTCAAATGATGGGATCTATCTACTATATAGTCTTCAGAATCTCCATTCTCAAGAAAAACCTGTAGCAAGTACACTCTGTAATTTTGGGAAGTTCTCAGTTTCCACTGTATGGAGAATTAATAGATGAATTTTAGTTTGAATTGTATGCTAGGATTTGGTTGTTAGTTCATCAGTTTCCATGATAACATTCTAATAGTTTTGTATTTGCTCTTGAAATGTTGTTAAAGGAATGCATTTTCATGATGCGTTTGCTTGTTTTCTCAGGAAAAATTAGGACATAATCTCAAAGTATTCTGCCGCTTAGCAACTTCTGCCAAAGAGATCGCAATCCAGAAGATTATTTAGTATATTTGAAGCATTCTTACAGCTTCCAAGTATATGAGCTAGTTAGTGTTTATAACAACTAATTAGGATGGCAAATCTCAGTTTACAATTCTATTTACTTTTGAGCCTATACCAGTATTATACCAAATGCAGGAGAATTAACACAAAAACTGTAACTAAGTTTACCAAATTATTTACAAAAACGTAAGGATGGAAAATCTTAGTTTACAATTCTATTTACTTTTGAGCCTATACCAGTATTATATCAAATGCAAGAGAACTAACACAAAAACCATAACTAAATTTACCAAATTATTTACAAAAACGTAAGGCTTCTCAACTAAAATATACTGTAATGTTCTCAATAGCCGTAGTTGGTGCCATATACAAGACTATAATCTGTCAAAGACACATGTTATAAAGCACTTGATGGTTGAGATGCATAAATAGAACATGTGTTGAGTACTTAAGTTGATTAGCAACTTTTGTGAGAATATTTGTGAAGTTAACAATTGGTCTACTATTTTTATTATAATGCATACTATGTATGCATTGACAAATCTGAGAGATGGTGTTTTTTCTGCGTGCTTTGAGACTTGCCCCTTTTCTTTCAACAACAAAAGAAATTAAAAAGAATTTTGGAGGAAATATTTTGACCATTACAGTTACCTAATCAAACACATAACAAAATCTATAAACAAATTACAGTTACCTAATCAAACACAATGCAGCTAACCATTAAGAAAAACAATATCATATAAAGAGACAGCCAACAACACAATATATAGTGGACACACCACGTTCATAACATTCGACAAATTGAAATCTCAGACTTAGACAAATGAAAAAAGAAAAACTCTAATCATAAGATGTCGAATGTTAACCGGAACAGAAAAAGTTTGATTGAGTGAATAGCCGAATATACAAGTTACAACAACACACTGATCATCATTTAGGATCAATCACAGCGCCAAATCTTTCTGATTCAAATTATCTTTTTGTTGGAAGTATAATAAGCTGGAAGCTGATCATTGAATGCACCACGGTTAATATAATAACGCCGAGTGTTTTTAATTTCTGAGCGGACCTGTCTTAAGAAGTTTAATTGGGCAGCAACTATAGCATCGTGATCATAATTTATTGGATCAATTAAATGACAGCAATCCGGAGAATCTGCAACTGGCGGACAAGACTCAATTGGAGGAGGCTGAACTGGCGTGTCAACATACTCAACTGAGGAAAGTTCTATTGCATCAATTAAACGATCCAAATCCGTAGAATCTGGAACTGGCAGACAAGACTCAATTGGAGGAGCCTGAACTGGCGTGTCAACATACTCAAATGATGGAAGTGGCGACACATCCATGTCGCTCCAGGTAGGCTGTTGAGTATGTGAATTTTGGAATGAAGGGGGCTCAAAATTCATGGATCCATATATGGGGTCAGAAGAAGAGATATTTGACGCGGCATTAAAACCAGTTATAGGGTTATCATATCCATGAAGAAGGTTGGTGTTAAGAATCGGATCACATGGAGTAGACAACATAGGGTATTGTCCATACTGATCAAATACTTTCGGGACAACAACACTCCTGCTACTGGAAAAAAATCTTTGTTGAACTACTGCACTAGGCATGTATAAGGTATTATGAGACGAATCTGAGCACTGTCTAACCAAGTCGCTAATTGGTTTGTAATCTTGAGAATCAAAAAGTGGTGGCATCATATCTGGGCGGAATTTGTAATATTTAAGGTCCAAGTCAGATATATCAAAGTTGAAGGTTTCTGTTTCATCATGCTGGTTGGATTCATTTGGCAATGTGTCAGCACTTTCTTGACTGTCATTTAACGAATATTTGGATATTATCTCGTCAGGATAGATTGGTAAGCCATCTCGATTCCGTTTCTTAGATCTTGTGTACCAAAAGTTCTTTATCTCGTTATCTGTACGTCCAGGCAGCTGAAAAGAAAAGAAAGAGGACTAAGCAAGGCAAATATACTCGACAGAACATGTAAATAACAAGCTCAGTAACAGAACACATTTAAGTAATACTGTCCAGGAACAATAACTTGATGATCAAAAGTAAGATTTATTCAAATCATCATTTGAAGATGCATTCATATTGAGAAAAATGGTATTATATTCCACAAGAAACCAATGCAGGATATCATCTACACATTAATATTAACATAATATACACAAACAAAGTTAAGTTATTAGATATACCATTTTAGCCATATGAGCCCACTTGGTTCCCTTCAGAAAGTGACACTCAATGATTAGGCGTTCTTCTTCGGCAGTAAACGGACCTTTTTTCACTCCTGGCCTCAAGTGATTTGACCATCGGAGACGACAACTTTTCCCACAACGAGCAAGTCCTGATTTCTTTTGGACTGCTTTCCAGTTTCCCTCTCCATGCTTTTTAATATGATCTTTCAAAATTTCATCCTCTTCATTTGTCCACGGACCTTTCTTTAGAGCAACTTCTACTCTTTGATCAGCTTCTTCCTCCGGTAATATTGACCGGCTAAGCTTTGACCTTTTACCAACATCACTGCCACTTGATAATGATGACACTTTACGTTTTCGCGTCGAAGTGCTATCAGCTTCGATACCTTTCTTAAGAGCAACTTCTCCTCCACCCGCATTAACTGTTTGATCAGCTTCGATACCTTTCTTAGGAGCAACTTCTCCTCCACCCGCATTAACTGTTTGATCAGCTTCGATACCTTTCTTTAGAGCAACTTCTCCTCCACCCGAGTTAACTGTTTGATCAACTTCGATACCTTTCTTTAGAGCAACTTCTCCTCCACCAGAGTTAACTATTTGATCAGCTTCTTCCTCCGGTAATACTGACCGGCTACACTGTGGACTTTTGCCACCATCACCCGGTTGTTGCTTTGAAGTGCCACTCATGACTCAATATATCTAAAAAGTCACAAAGTTTGAAAATTTTAGCACATAATTAAACATTATTTCTCAAACGTAAAACAAAAAAAAAACTCTTTTCTTTTCTAAAACATTCCACAATAGCTCTCTCTCTTTTTTCATATGCGTTTTCCGAATCAATCATTTACTCTAGAATAGTAGCAATTTTGTATATTTCTTTTATAGTTTTTCTTTTTCATATTCTAGAGTAGCATGAATTTTGTATATTTCTAAAATAGTAGCCTTACTCTAGAATAGTAAATCCCAACATGATGGCAACCAGGTTTGGTTTGGAGTTACGGTAGGACCCGGTCTGTCTTACTTACGAAAAAACGAGAGGAGTAAATCCCTAAAATGCAAGGTTTGAAACCCCATCCCTCTTTCGGAAGGTAACACAATCATCCCTCCATTTTCCATCAAACCTATGTGAGAAACGAGTTCATCTACAACGATATCCCTTACCATTATTAAACCAAACTCTGCAAAATTAAACTTCTCTTCATCTTCTTCCCGTGACATCGCCGCCTCACACCTCTCTTTTTCTAGGTCACGTGAGCTAACCTCGCTATCAAGTCGTCTCCTTGATGTTCGACGCCATACCAGACGGAAAAAGGGTTGTCGCGCCATGTCCGAGGGCCGACGTCGGCGAAAAATATAATACTCACTCCTCTCGCTCTCTCTCGACTCTAGGTTCCGACAAACAACAACAATGCAACAAATTGTGCGATTGAAAAGAAAACTTGCAGAAATTAAATCAGGTGCGAATTTGCGACCAATTTTCAATTGTTGCTGATTGGGTTCGTGCCTTCAATCTTTCGTGCGTGTTGTTTTTTTGACTCTTTGACTCTGCTCTTTTTGCTCGTAAATATTTATTTTTTCAGTTTTTAATTCTTATTTATAAAGCAAATTGTTAGCGCTAGTTTTTGAATGAGTTTAAGACTCATTTGTTACCTTAATTTGTATATTTATTATGTAACAACAAAAGTGTTTGAATTAAATCCTAACATTATTAATCTTAAAATTATGAAATAGAATTTCCGAACAAGGAATAAAATCAAATAGAAAGAAACAATAAACATAAATAATTAACTCTAAAAAATCAAATAGAAAGAAACAATCAACATAAATAATTAACTCTAAATATCTATGGAACCATTATATGAAAAGAAAATTGAAAAGCTCAAAGAAGTGAATAGAGCAATGACCTAGAATATAGGCTAATTGTTGTGAGAGAAACAAAATTCTGATTAATTGGAGAGAATGGAAGTGTTGAAGTGATACTAATTATGTTTTTTAAGGGTGACTAAGGTTTTATATTAATGGGAGTAAACTAAATGGATAAATTAAGATATTTTTTGTGGGCCCAAAGTGTTGATCACATATTTTATATTTTTTATTCAAGTTACCATTAATTTAATTATTTTAATTAAAATGCATATAATTTTTTAAATAAAATTTACCTTAAAAACTTAAAAATAATATTAAACATATTTTATTATAAAATTAAAAATGATACAAAATTCACAACAATAATACATAAAAAAAATTACATTTTCATAGAGAGTAACATGTGACACTCATGATTTAACTTTAATTCTCATGTTTTCTCTTCAACAATATATTGGCTAATTAATCTTCTTTAATAGGCTATGATAGAAATTACAATATAAATGCATTAATGAAAAAATGACTAATTAATCTTCTTTAATAGTCTATGATAGAAATTACAATATAAATGCATTAACGAAGAAATGAGCGTAGTTTTCTTTACAATTTATATAAATATTATGAGGAATATATTGGCTAACTATTTTTCTTAAAGATTAAATTTGTTAAAATAATATAAAGCAAATTGTTAGCGCTAGTTTTTGAATGAGTTTAAGACTCATAAGAATATATATAACTAAAACAAATCCTTTGTTTTATAACAAACGGGATTTTCGGTATAGGAATAAACAAACCATGGATAAATCTAAGCGACTGTTTGTTAAATCATCTGAGCTACTGTTTGTTAAATCGAAGAAGAAGAAATCAATTCGTAGGAGGTCGCCCCTAATCCAATTTGGGGATCGAACAGGGAAAATTTTATCACTCGAGAAGGCAAAATTTTATCACTCTAAATATCTATTTCACTCGAGAAGGCAAAATTTTATCTATTACCTTAATTTGTATATTTATTATCTAACTATAAAAGTGTTGAATTAAATCCTAACGTTATTAATCTTAAAATTATGAAATTGAATTTTCGAACAGGGAATAAAATCAAATAGAAAGAAACAATAAACATAAATAATTAACTCTAAAAAATCAAATAGAAAGAAACAATAAACATAAATAATTAACTCTAAATATCTATGGAACTATTACATGAAAAGAAAATTGAAAAACTCAAAGAAGCGAAGAGAGCAATGACCTGGAATATAGGTTCTGGTAATATAGGTTCTGGTTGTTGTGAGAGAAACAAAATTCTGATTAATTGGAGGGAATGAAAGTGTTGAAAGTGATACTAATTATGTTTTTTAAGGGTGATTAGGGTTTTATATTAATGGGAGTAAGCTAAATGGATAAATTAAGATATTTTTTGTGGGCCCAAAGTGTTGACCCCATATTTTATATTTTTTATTCAAGTTACTATTATTTTAATTATTTTAATTAGAATGCATATAATTTTTTAAATAAAATTTATCTTAAAAATTTGGTGACTTCTAAGATGAGGACTCTATTAAATCCCTCACCCATGTACCACTAATTATAACCATTGGATGAAACAAGTCTATATAATGATATTATTAAGTATCGTATTAAATTAGATCCTTTTTCATCCCATCATATATATTTCAACTATCTAAACAATGTTTATATCGTTGTCTCATTTTCTCCATTGTTAAACAAAGATAAATTAATGTTCCATCGTCATATCAAGGTGTTATCTCATATTTGTGCTCTTTTCTAACTTCTCAATAAAAATGGATTTTTTCTGTAAAGCTTTTTTTTTTAAATTTTTTTTCAAGAGGTGATAACAACACCATCTTTAACCTATCTATTAATTCTTCTTCCTTCTCCGTTAATTCTTATACTCGCCTCTTTAAATTACAAAATAGTAGATTATTAGTTTTACTTTTGTAAATAAATGTATTGAAAAATTAGATTTAAATTCTTAAATAAAGAAGGAGAGGATTAAATGAGCCAATTGCATAAATCTGTTAAGCATTTATTGACTGAGTTTAGCAAAGTATCTTGCAATTGCAGTAAACCATAAAAGAGAAAGTAAGCCCAAAACACTAATGTAAAATATCACAATTAATTTGTTCTATTTTAAAAATAATGTAAGATTACTATGAAAATTAATGGCAGTCTCACCATATCATGTTATTTAGAAAAAGAGAAGTTGTTCTTCAATCTTAACCAACAGCAAGAGATGAGACAGGAAAGAGAAGATGGGGCGAGTAATTGTGTGAGGAAAATTTTAGGTGTTCTCAGTTTTTTTTTTAATTTATCTGAACCTTTCAAATATATTTAACGGTATTTAAAAGTGGTGCACCGATGAACCACTTAATAAATGGTTCACTCTAGATGCTACCTAAAAATTTAGAAATAATATTAAACATATTTTATTATAAAATTAAAAATGATACAAAATTCACAACACGGTGATCCGCCACAACACGGTGGCCACCAAAACTACGATGGATTATGATTGCAAACCACCAGTGTGTTTGCTTTATTGCTAGCACGCAGTCAATTTTCAAAAGCGTGTTAACGACAAAACAACAGACGGCCATTGACTCAACAAGCATTTGGCCTCTTCCAATGCTAATACAAATAAGCCACACATCAATCTATGAAAATTGCAAATTCGCAATGCAACTACAACTACAACCTTAATTTAAAACCTCAGTAACTTTCTACATCATGGGATACTGCAATTATGTACCTGTTTCCTTGAGCTTTTTTTCTTTCTATAAATAGTTTAAGTGATTAACCAGAATATGGATTTTACATGCAAAACCTATTTTCAGAACCTATTTTCACAACCTTCACCTAATGAACAAGTTAAGCTTTTCAACCCAAGGTCTGTCATGAACATTTCTATCATTAAGCAAACCTATATAGTTTTCGGCAAAGCAATGAAATTTCACATGAGCAGCAAAATCTAAAATCAACTCACTCGTTTACTAGGAAGAGCTGTTATATCAAGCTCCTTACACGCTTTTGTAATAATCGTCTGCATTTGTGCCCTACAAAGAACAAAAGTACAACACTTCATCAATATTCCTAACTCTAACATCAACGCCAAGCAAAACAATGTCTTAAGATAACATTAACCAGATACAATCTAGCAAGATATGATAATAATACATCATATACACCATGTTTTACACAGGACCGTCTATAAGGGCGTGCAATATAGGCCCTCATAAAATATTTGACCTAGCAATATAGGCCCCGATTTGTTTTGCAAACGGTTGAAAATCGCCTAACTTACACAGAGTCTCCAAAATTTAAACACGCCTTTGGTTTTAACTTTTGCGCATGGTGCATAATAAAAGCAAATACTCGTAGAACAGAACATCATAACATGTAAACTTTCATTCTACTAATGTAACAATCACTACAAGTCTTAGGTGACACTTTTGACAGAAAAAAAAACTACTAAAAGTAGAATATAGTGAATGAATTTACCTAAAGAAGCGAATGTTTTTTGGCAAAGGTAGATCCAAATCATCACAAATCCCAACAATAGAATCCTTAAGAGTGATACTGTTAATAACATTATTAGGAAAATACTCAGTATATTGAAGTGAAAGAGATTTATCACAAACAACAAGCTCCCAAAGTTTCTTTCCTCTAGCATCAAGAATGGGTCTAGAACAGAAATCCAACTCCCAGGTTAATATCTTAGCAGGATCAGTTTCTGGGTCAAGATAACATGTTTCAGCAGTTGGGTCTTCTTTGTCTTGTTCGGTTTCTATCTGGGTTGTTTCTTTGTCTTGTTCGGTTTCTATCTGGGTTGTTTCTTTGTCTTGTTCGGTTTCTATCTGGGTTGTTTCTTTGTCTTCTTCGGTATCTATCTGGGTTGTTGTTACTGAGGTTTCTGATACAGAACATGTTCGGAGTTGAAGGAAGGGTTTTTTGTTGGTGAAAAATGGGAATTTGATGGTGGGTTTTGATGAGGAGAGTTTGGTGATGATGGAGTTGGGGTAGTTGAAAGATGGGGTTTTGATTGTCGTGGAGTTGAAGCTTAGAGTAGCCATGGTTATGGCTATGGTTTGTGGAACTCGTTAGTTTGTGTGGTTGAGGTAGTTATCCATTGTTGTTATGGGTAATGCTAACTTTAGTTTTGGGATACATGTTAAAAAAATCTACAAATAAAAAATAAATATTGAAAAAAGTAATAAAATTATTAATATTAAACTTGTATTAAATTTAATACACAATTTTTAATAAATTTTTACTATATTAATCACTTAACTTGTGTCTCTGCCTCTCAGACACAAATTAGCATTGTCCTTTTGTTATAGGCAGCACTTAATAATTTAGGGACATTAGGAGTGTGAAAAAAAATTGGTTGTATCTTTCTTTTTTATTACAAAAAAGTTTTTTTTTGATAATTTGGGCCTAAACCCAAAAATCCAATAAATAAAAAAGATAAATAGGTACAAAAATGAGGGGGGCGAAGAGCCTAAACCTCAAACCTATCTAATTCTAAAATTAGGTAAACCTAACCGGTTTCTACAAAAATCCGGTTCTATATCCTAATGTACATCATTCCACCAAATAAAGTTAGAGATATTTAAACCTATGTTAGCCAATTTATCGACACAATGGTTACCTTCCCTGAAAACATGAGAAGCCAAAAAATTACAATTACCAAGGGTAGCCGTACAGTTGTCCAATCTATTCCTGATCTTCTAGGGCACAACAGATGGTTTACTGAACGCCATCACAACGAGAGATGAATCCGATTCTAGCCAAATATTTGTCCAACCTCGAACTAAAGCATGCTCAATAGCCAAAATAGCTCCCATCAGCTCAGCAAACAGTGATTTAACAGAGCCTAAATTACAAGCAAAACTTTCAATGTGATTCCCGAAGTGATCTTTAAAGATCCCCCCACAAGTCGCGTTTATTGGATCACCGTCGGATGCTCCATCAATGTTGACTTTAATCCAACCATTTGGGGGAGGATTCCAAATGACTTCGACACACATCTTGGGATTAACCGGATTAATGGAAATAGAAAACTTTTTCAGAACTTGAAAATCCCCAATGTCCATAGAAGACGCCCCTTTGAAAGAATTTCCAGCCAGCTGGGAAGTAGCATAAATAGATGAACATGTAGTTCTCCAAGGAATAAACCTGTTTTGAATCCGAGCATAATTTCGAGCCCGCCAAATGCCATTAACCACAGCAATAATCAAAGCACGGTATACTACCATACATTGCGCAACACCAGATTTATGCATTGCAATGAAACAATCATGCATATCTGAAAAGCTAAAATTAACATTAAGCATATCGCGTAGCCAATTCCAGATCCTCCTAGAATACTCACATTGAAAAAAAAGGTGATTGATATTTTCTTCTGTATGTAAACAAAGGTTGCAAATAGAAGGGTCTGCTATACCGCAATGCTGGAGAACTTCATCCGTATGAACACGATTCTTCATAACTCTCCAAAAGAGAATAGAATGAGAAGGAGGGATGTTTGAGTGCCAAATTAAATTGCCCCAAACACAAGCATTTCCGCTATGCTTGCAGTAAGAATACGCATCCTTGACAGTGATATCGCCGCTGTCAGACCTGGACCAAGCGAGCCAATCTTCCTTCAAACAGTTGACATAAATATTTTCCACCATCTGTGGCAGCTCAGGACAAATACTGATCAGCCCCGGTGGCAAGTGAAACGAATTGCCGCTTAAAATGGAGCTCAGATTAGCCTTCAGCGGCGCTAGCTGAGCATCCGAAAGATGAAGTGATGAACTCAAGGGACTGCCACACCAGTTATCACGCCATAAATTAATTTTATTGCCCTTTCCAATTATCCACGTAGAATTCTGCAATAAGTCTTCCAAAAATTCAGCACAACCTGTCCAAACAGACGAGAAAACGTGTGATTTACGCACCGAGCCTTTCCTTAAAACTCTAGCTTTTACAATCGAAGCCCAAGTGTCAATCTCATTCATAATACACCAGCATTGAACCAAACGATTTGCTTTGTTAAGAACACAAAGAGAGCGATACCCAACCATCCATCCTTACGGTCCTGATAACAAACTTTCCAAGCCACCGTAGCCATCTTTCTTTGATTGATATCACCACTCCATATAAAGTTCTGACACCAAGTTTCAATTTGAGAAAATTGTTCTACTTTTAAAAATTCAAACCAAATGGTAAAATATAAATTTGGGAAAATTTTACCTCATACCATCCTTTATTCCTCTACCCCTACATTATATTTTTTTGACCAAAGTATCCTCATATAAATATGTGTAAACTTTTCCTGGTTTAATTATTTGATCTAGAATTTAATAAATAAATCTATTATTAAAAACTACTTTATCAATATTCTCAGCAAACATGACAAATATTATATATCTATACTATTATATGATCTTATAATGTCTCCATCAAAAATTTTCCGCTAAGTTTTTTTTCTTTAATTAATTAATTAAACATAAATATAACTTTATGGGAAAAAATGTATAAATTGATGAAATATAAATTTGATTTGTGAGAAGATAACTTTGTGGAAAAAAATGGAATAAAGTAATGATATTAGTGGGGGCTATAAAAAACTTTAAATTTTGTGAAAAAAATGGAATAAAGTAATGAAATTAGTGGGAGCTATAAATTTTTTTAATTATATTAATTTAATTTTGTATTAAGTAATTTTAAAGTTTGCATTATGTCTTATTTATTTACTTTTTTTATTTTATTTTTTAATTTAATATTACTATGTGTCCTATTAATGTGGGGTTAGAAAGATGTTATGAGTGGAGAGAAGTTAATTATTTGCATGATATGAATAGAGAGTGTTGAGTGGAGAGAAATTTGAGAAATAAACATGTTAAATATTTTAATTTAATTACTATTTAATTAATAATAATAATAATATTTAATTATTAATAATAAAAGATTAATTAATAGAATAAAGAGAAAAGTTATGCTATATAGTTACTATGTTAACATATTATTGGTGGGTGGCTGCATTTTTAAAAAAAAAATAGGACGTGTTTTATTGTATTTGTTAATTAATCATTATTTAAAATATAAGAATGTGACTTAATGGGAAGTTTTAAATGGAGTTAATAATAAATATATTTATATTTAATTAATTAATTAGAGGAAAAAGTTTTAGCGAAATTTTTTTGATTGAGACATTATGAGATTATATAATAGTATATTACCATGTTTGCTAAGAATATTAATAATGTAGCTTTTAAAAATAGATTTATTTATTAAATTACGGATAAAATAATTAAATTAGAAAAAATATATTAAAATTTGATTTGGCATGTGCAAGAAAATATACTAAAATTTGATTTGTTGGATTTTACTATAGTTTTTATTTATAAATCTCAAAGATCAGTAAAGCTTTATGAAAAATGATCATAAATATTTTAGATTTCTCCACCAATAGATAGGGGTTTTGAAATATACAAATATATTTATTATAACATATTAGTCACCATTTTAAGTCCATATAATTTACTGAAGTTTTTATTTTAAAATTTTTATTTTCAGTTTTATTTTTATTTTTTTTTTAAATTTTAAATTCTTTTGTTAGTTTCAAAGAAAAAATATATTAAAACCTAAATATTTAAATTTCAAAATTGATATAATTTAAAAAAAAAATTAAATTTAAATTTAACTAAATGATTTGGATTAAAATTAAAATTCATTTAGAACCGATTTTAAATCGGTTCGAAACAAATAGTTTGATTTATAAACCATAACTATAAAAATGGTTTGATTTATAAATCATAACCATAAAAATGGATTGGTTCATATTAAATGGTTATCATGCACACTCCTAATGGACATAAAAAATATCTAGTTTATCAGTTACGTATACTAGTACTATTTTTATAGATACACTTTCATGAGTTAATCATTGTTTTATACTTCTAAAGTAATCATTAGAATGGGTTAGAGACGAAGAGTCTTACATCAAAGAGAATGTTTAAATGTTGAACAAATTTACTAGGTTATAAAGAGTTTGTGAAGGAAAAATGGCTATTTATTTTTTCAGATGGATGTTTGGAGAGGTTTTGTGCTAAAATAAAAATTGAAGTTGATAAAGGTAGTTTGAAAGTATGACATCAAAATCATACTCAAAATTTAGAAGATAAAATTAAAGTGGTAAAAGAGGAGTTGGGAGAGTTACACTTGTTAAATATAATTCATTGTGTAAATAGATTTGATATGATTAGATTTGATTTTAATATTTTGGGCCTTTTATGTTTTGGGCTAGTGTAAACCTAAAACTATAAATAGGGTGCCTTGCTTTGTATTCTACATCACAACAAAACATATTTCACAGTTGCAGTTAGCAAGTGAAAGTTCAATAAGAAATCCCACAGTTGGGGGTAACACATTCTCTCCAAATACTTCTTCTCTCATTCTTCTCTTTCTTGTTTGTTATTCTTCTTCTCTTTTGTTGTTCTTGATAATTACTTGTTATTACCATTACTATCATATAGTGGGTTTGTTCATCAATCTTGAGATCAAGATTGAAGGGAATTCTTCGTAGGGTGTGAGGTGAATTTCCAACATCTGGTATCTAGAGCTCCGGTTAAGAGATTCAAAGAAGGAAGATAGTGATGGCGATGAACTATCCAAACGGCAACTTTCCGGCGACCCTGCCAATTCTCAAGAAAGACAATTATGAGAATTGGTGCAAGCAGGTTAAGGTGATCTTCTGTTATCAAGATCTTTGGGATCTTGTGAAGGACGGAGTAACATCGCTGGTGGAGAACACAACGGAGGCGGAAAAGACTGCGCACAAAGAATTGAAGAAGAAGGATTATAAAGCACTCTTTATAATTCATCAGTGTGTTGATCCTGATAACTTTGAAAAGGTTAGTGATATTGATTCAGTAAAAGAAGCATGGGAGATTCTTGAAAAGTCGTTTGGAGGCGCAGAGAAGGTGAAAGAGGTGAGGTTACAAACTCACAAGAGAACCTATGAGTTGCTTCAGATGGAAGACAACGAAAGCATTACAGATTTCTTCACCAGAGTTACAAGGTT